TGAAAAAAATACTTCGACCACTAATTTGCAGAGATGAAGAAAAAGCACTGCATCGGCAACGTTGATTCAGCACCAGAAGGAGACAAAGCGGTCGGCTGGGCAGGAGGAGAGTTGTTTCTCTGGCTTTGTAATTAACTCAGTCCATCGACGATAACTTGGAGGAGGAAACAAAAAACTGCAGCAACGATTGTTGATTTGGGAAAGGCGACAGAACGACCAGAGGAAGACTTTCCTCTTTCATCTCTATTAGAGCTCAGTTTGGCAAGAGATTCACGAATTTCAAAATATAATTCGCGCTCCAATGATTTGTAATTCGTGAATTATAAAACCTTTATAACCAAAGCGCGTTTCACGCTCCAATTCGGGAGCGGTAAGGGTGCACCCAAGAATTGGGTGACCTAAATTGGAATCCTTCCCGTAGGCGGGATCTAAGACAAATTTAATTTGCAATGAAAATTTGGATTGGCTGAATGGGTATCAGACCATGTTTGAGTCTGGGATTGCACTAATTGATCTTATTAATTTTCAAGTTAATGGGGAGAATGTTTGAGTGGAGACAATAATTATGGAGAATTCATTTAGTAATTATTTACCGTCAAAGTCATTGGTTCCTAGCTTAATCAACAAATTTATTTCCTCATGGAAATTGAATTCTGCCTTTCGTTACACAAGTTATTTATTATGGGGTCGTCACCTCTTTAACTATTTCTATGAGGCATTTAAGCGATATTTTTAATTTTAGTCAAAAGAGCATTGAACACTTTTTATGAGGTCGTCATTCTATTGTGTTGATACATCAAGAGAGCATTGAACACTTATTTTTTAGATGCCCCCTAGCCACCAAGTTGTGTACCTTAGTGGGATTGAGAAACTTCAATGATTCCACCCCCGACTATTAATCTTAGTCTATGGTAGCGATCGACATGTCATGATCTCTAAGATCTCCTCATTCCATGTTCTCCAATGCGCCAGTCAGTTAGTTCTACTACCAGCTCCTTAAAATCTCCAATATTCACCTCCCTCCTCCGCCTCCCAGATCGCTCTTCCAAAATCCTTCTTCTAACACTTGGTAGCCTCCACCAGACGAAATTTTGAAGATCAACTTCGATGCAGCTGTTCGCGACTCAGGGTGCTCGTCCAGTCTTGTTAGTCGTGGGTCAGACGGGCATGTGGTGCTGGCAGGTGGTATACATCACCAAGGAGTAGTCAACACCTACCTGGCAGAGCTCCTCCCCGTTAGAGATGCTATCACATTCCTCGCCTCAAGTTCCTTGACTCACGTGATAGTGGAAGATGATTCTGAGGTGGTCATCGACCAGATCCGACAAGGTGTACTAGAAGGTTCATTTGGAGGTCCGGTGCTCCGGAAGTGTCGCCAGATTCTAGACTCTTTGTTAGTTTATATAGAGTTTAGGGCGGTTCCTAGAGATGCCAAAAGTGTTGCCCATAGAGTGGCGCTTAAAGCACTGCTATTATTTCGTTTAGGGGTCGTTTGGTTTTGGTGATAGTTTGGTTGGGATAGTTACAACTTACAATGCATGTAATGTCCACAATGCATCGTTTATTTGAATTTTCTGCGCAAACAATACATGCATTGTTTGCTTGATTTGACACAAACTATCACTCAAAATGAGTGATAATTAAATCTCAAGTTTTCGTTGAGATAAGAAATTGTTTGATGGAGATTGTTGTGTTTTCTTCTTATTCCAAATATGTCCCTACCTTTTATGTATGTTGCTTTTTTATATTAAAAACAATGGGTAAAAGTGACATTTCACCCAAAAAAGTAATATAATTCATTTAAATACTACAAAAACTATCACATAAATGAGACGATGTAAACTACAATACACCAATTTTCTTATATACATGTATATTATTATGCATGCATTGATGACAATACAACGATTTAACTATCATCAAAACCAAACGACCCCTTAGAGTTAGGGCTCGTTTAGTATTGTGTTTTAAGAAATTTGGAAAACCAAGAAAAAAAATCGTGTTTAGTTGGTTTTTATTTTTTGTTGTGAATCAGAGTTGCACAACAAGGCCCAAATATGAGAAACAACAATTTATAGCTTTGGATCTGATTCTTAAACATGTTGCACACGGGATTCCTACTGGTTGGACGCTTGATTTCATTAAAACAGACCAGTGTTTGAGACAGGCGCCGCTCTCCCCTCCGGCCATACACGCCGACGCCTTCTCCCCACTCCACGCCGGCCACCTCCGACCTCCTGACCCTCCGCCCTCCGACCCGCCGCCGCCTCGACCTCCCCTGCCCTGCTCAACAGTCGTCGCCGGGCCTCCCCTGCTCAGCAGCTCAATCCATGTTTCCTTTGCTGTATATTGAGAAATGTTCTTATGATTTTTCGTTACAAATAACTAAACGCGTTTCTGTTTTTTGTTGTCGATTTCTATGATATGTCATAATTACCAACTAAACATGTTTTTGTTTTCTATTTTTATGTTGTTGTGGTTTCTCTTGTGTTACACAACCATACTACAACCACAACAACAACAAAACTATACTAAACGGGCCCTTAGAGTCTTTCGATTTTTTGGTGGCTTCACTAAGGTGTAGCTTGTAAGGGGTTCCTAGCTGGTTTTGTTTGTATAACTCTTATCCTCTCTTAGTATCACTCGGAAATAATACAAAAATCATTGGAAGCAACTATCATATTGTCATTTATGGACTGTTTATATAGGCAACACTTTGTGTGTAAACATATATGTCACTATTAGTTGCATCTCTTTATTAGTCATTTTAATTTTCTCATGTTTTCAATACGTTCTAAGCATAATCAAAGTAATTTGAGTATTTGTATAGATAATTCATGGCCAAATACTAAACAAAACGTATGTCATTAGTGTAAATGACACATACATATTATATAACTTTCAAACTCTACCAGCAGTTGATCGGAACTTGTACTAGTTTAAGTATAAATTATATTATCATAGAACAAAATAACATAACCACGCTAACAAAATTAACTAAATCAAAGTTCAAATGATTTGGTTATTTGATTAATTGATTTAACTGATATAACTTAGACTTTGCTACGGTGATTTGTATTTTTTTTTATCAATTTGCTAGAGTGAATTGTATTTTTTTTATCAATTTGCTACAGTGAATTGTAAATCATCGTAATTTAGAGACAACGATCTCTCTCTTTCACTAAGTGGTAGACCACTTTTCAAAGAATCGGTCTACCGCTTCCACCAAGTTGTCTACCTCTTTCATCAAGCGATTCACAAAATTTCAACAACCAATCAGTCTGATGAACTAATGTAATGACCATCACATATAATTATAGGAGTCCAATATTAATATACATGTTGTTAGTAAGATAGTTAACTCTATAGAGACTTTCATGTTTCCTTCAAATTCTAAGTTTGCTTGTTTTTATTATATAGTTTTCTTGTGATGGATCAACTTTGTTGCTATTGTTTATGAAGATACTTAAAAAGTATAGTATAATTGTTATGCAATTGTGTAATCTTCAACGTGCGTAGTCCTTATATCGTCTTGCTTTTATGAGCTTTTTATTCCATAAGTGTTAAAATATGGTGTTATTTATTTTGTCTAACCTATAATCTGAGTAGAGATTGCCCGCGGGTGATGGGATGGTGCATTACTATAAACAATTTCATATAATAGGCATCCTATTGTCTATTATTTTCCTAATGTAACTAGAAGGTAACTGTGTCATCTGGTCGATCATTCGCCGAAAGCGTAGATCATTTGGTAGAAATGGTCTACCACTTCCAACAAACCGGTGTTAATTTAAAGTAAGTGTATCATCAAGTCGACCGCTTGCCGAAAGTAATAGACCTATGGCCTAAAGTAGTGAGCTTTTGGTGGAAGCGATAGACTATTTTCTTGAAAAGTGGTCGGCCATGTTGTGAAAAAGGTAGACCGTTTTCTTCAAATCACGGTGACTTACAAATCACCATAGGCATATCCTTAAATTAAATAACCGTCGACCAAAGTACTCCTTACATTACATAAAAAAAAATATCTAATAATGTACAACCAAGTAAACTACAATTAGCGTCAACTACTCAATACGATATATGTACACTAAATGGAAATAACAAACATTACAATCAACAATTTGAGTCATGCGAATCAATTCAATTATTAATCTTATACCATGTAGTAACGCACTCCTTCAAATGAAAGTTAACTCATATGGGTTTGAACTTTGAAGTTTGCGCATGTACGAATAAAATGTATTTAGCAAATAAGGATCGTCGAGATTCAAACACAAAACCTATCGATCATCAACGACTTTGATACCATATATACATGAAGAACCCATAGATCCCAATATATTGCACGCGAGGAAGTTCTTATGCTCGAGATGTTTCTCTCTTTTTAACGATAAAATTGGAAATGTCACCATATAGACTAGCGGCCATCAAGCAAGCAAGTTACAGAAGTGGTAAAACAAAAAACAACGAAATGTTTCGTAACTCTCACTCATCACAACCATTAATTGAGCACTTCTACTATGCTATAAAGTATTGGTGCTTTAATGTACAACTTAAAGTTGTACCATAACATTAAAGGTATAAATTCAGGTTATACCATAAAGGAATTTGTGCTCTTATGTTATGGTACAACTTTATAACTTAAACTTGTACCATCAAATGAAAGTACAAGTTTAAGTTGTACCATAAAACAATTTGACAAAAGAGTATAGGTACAATCTGAAGTTGTACCATAACGTTAAAGGTACAATTTAGTTGTACCATAAAGAGAAAAACCTATAGCACCAATGCTATATAGCATTGTAAAATTGCTCCCATTAATTAAGAAACAAAGAAATCCTCCATTAATATATAGTACACTTTCGTGTACTTTTCTCCGATACAAAATCTCTCTACTCCCCTTGATTTGCGGTAAGGGTATTATGGTCATTCCTCCCTTTTTTTCGGCAACGCGAGATCTGTATAAACATATTTTTCGGATCCCCTTCGTTTTCCCTTCTCCCCTTTGTCGATATCTACTCATCATCCCCTTCTCTGTTCGAATCGAAGAATCTTATTATTTTCCTTCTCTTCCATCCACCGGCCTTACTGATATGATATCTTCATCACTCTTACAAACATGATTTTTACCATATGATTTATCTGCCATTCATGCTTTACGCTTTTTGGTTTTCCTTCCTGGCACAATGGCGAACTAGACCGGAAGATCAGTTTTGTCCTCCATGTTCACCTTCTTAATTCCCTTCTATTCCTTCTACCAACCCTACCAATCAAATATATCCACCGCCGTTTCTGGACCAGACTTTGGGGGTTCACAAGTCTCCAAGGCAAGAGGCTTGATTGTAGTAGTTTCTACACTGGGGGATGGTTGTCTCGAGGGAGGAAGCTTGGTCCAAGCGGCGACTCTCATCCTAAAGATCATATCTGCCAAGTTTATAAGCTTTGAATGGGTAGATTTCGAGGATGGTTATTTATTTCTTTTGTTGTCGTGTACCTAATCATTCACAAAATCTTTTTTTTTTTTCTCTATGTACAGATTTTTACTTGCAATTCGGCTCTTATCTTCAAGCCCCTGTTCCCCGACGATTACCATTTGATTCTCGAATTCTCATGGTGGTGTGTTTCTTATTGTTTCACAATTCCTGGTACTTTCCCCACATGCAGATTGACACTTTTCTATGGAGTTCGTCGGATGATAACTTGGTAGCTTCTGGGATTTTTGGATGCTCTGAGATAGTTTGAACTTTGAAGAAAGGATCATGATATTATTAGTCCTTTTTAGATTCAAAGTTGAAAAATTTTACCACTGATGCTGCTAATAAGGTAAGGCCATTTTATCCAGATCATATTAGAAATTCGGTTTGAACATATATCTGCCACTTTACAACTTACAACCTTAGGATTTAGAATTACAATGACACATGTATTAATGAATCCAATCTAAACAGGTTCGCGCTACATATAGGGATGACACTAGAGATTTTTCAATACAATGTCCTCATAACAGAACAATATAGCCTCTGTCCATTCCAAAGTTACGTTGTCAAAGTATTAAATGATTCATTCTACGATGTGTGCACCAAATGCCCCGGCAAAGTACAAGTTGAAGCGGATAAATTTTACCAAGACCAATGTCAAGCAACAAACTGAAAAAAGTATGAAAATGTTCCTTACTAACTTAACTATCCCTTTTTATGTTTAGTTTATCTCATCCGATGACCAGTAACTTAATCTACAATCTGAATCAACTTCAATCTAAATTTGATATAAATTAGAGCAGGTTTTTAGTTCAACTTTTTTCTATGATCCAATAGGTGAAGCTGTGTTTGTACTCTTGGATCATGAAAGCAAGAACACAGGCTCTACATTCTATAAGGAAAACGAGCCAAGTGATATGCCTTCTCACCTTCTGAAATTGGAAGTTTTGATATTGACTTCCACATAAAGGTGAAGGAGTTCAATATGAACAAATTAAATCATCACCTGAAATGAATTCACTCTCTGGAAGATGAATGAGGCTAAGGAATCTAACAATTCAGATTTGTTCGTTAATTAAGAAGATGTCATGTGCTCTGCTTCTTATTATCATTTTTAAGTTGTCGTGTACAAAAAAGAGGAACCAAACTGGATAACATGGCCTCTATACCCCCTGCTACTTAACCACAAAGAAAATCAGCATAACAAACCCTTACCAACCACTTCACTAGAAAGTAGGCCATGTTTTGTTGTGTGTTGTCGAGTGCTACACCTTCAGTCAAGGCTCTAAATAGAAGAATGTTGATTCAGCAAGTGATGATAATGATGATTAGAACATTAGACTCGTCTATTTTTATTTCTATAACATTGAACATAGTTTGTTTGTTTACTGCTTCATAAGGATTCATGCACTGTGAATTATCTTCTTTAAGAGACCTCCCTTTTTTTCCCATGTCAACATATATTTGTGGGATACCTTTATGAACTAATTGAGTAGAGGTTAAACGAATAGCTTTTGTATCCATATGGTAGAATCATCTGTGTATTAATGGATTCTGATTAATACAAGTTAATGTTATCTTTGTTATTAACAGGCTCTTACGTCCACAAAGGTCGTTAACTTTGTTACTTAACCTTTTCTGTTACACTCCAGAACAAGGTACAAGATTGTTAATGGCACATACAACTTTATGTATTGTGATTCCTCTTTTTGCTTCTCCTACTTCCACCATCCGAGACCTTCATTCCAAAGACTCTGCCATGCAAAAATGCCTTCCCTTCTCTTTATACTCCATTTCTATACCAATGCTCACCTCTTCATTCAGTCTTTAACCGATGATTGATGCTCTCTTCTCTCGCTCTTCTAATCATCTAAAGGAATCCAGTTACGAAGCGTGTCAAATACGATTCAGAATTTTGGTTCCGTTTGTGTTATGTAGAAAGTTTAGAAGTTTTGTTTTTCGCTTCTATTTCGACAAAAAGGTTACAACTTACAAGGTTGAGTTACCAATGCGGACTTCTAAAGCCCAACATGAGAAAATACAAGTCAGTGGCCACTTTGATATTTTAAATATGGGAAAACGATACTTACAAAGTCTAATTATCCATTTTTCGACCCAAAACTGACCCTTTTTCTGCATGCAACTAATTTTGCTTCTTCCCCCCTACGACGACCTTGGCTTTGCACTTTGCTCGAAGTCACTGTTGAGCAAAAATGTAGAACTCAACATCTTGCTTTGGTCTGATTCTTTAATCCACCAAGGCCAAGCTAAACACACTTGGAAAAAAATCAAACAATACTACTTCACCAAAAGCAAAACCCTACCCTAATTTATCTGGCCAACGGGCCAGCTTACAACTAGTATTAGTATACTACCAACCAACTAAGCATATTCCTTTTCTTTTTCTTAACCTCTTCCTAGAAAGAACAATAGCCTCTAGAATCACCAGGACCATGTTTACTACTCTTCGCGTCCTCATTTACCTGATCGTCGAAACTCAATATTTGTCTCCCCACCGGTAGGAATGGCAATACTGCAAGTCGGGACGAGTTTCTTGATACTCAGACCCGCCCCGTGGCATATAGGGTTCAGGTCGGGTAATTTATCATGGTCGCGGGTCGGGACAGATCGACCCAATGGGAATGCAATTTATATGAAAACATTAGAAATATTTGTTATTTTTATTATAAGACTAAGAAATCAAACAATATTATGATAAATATAGTTAAATTATTAGAGAGATTGAGGTTTTCACTAATTTACAACTTTATTATAGCTAAAATATGATGTAATAAAAGAAAAATCCTAAGTAATTTGACTAAGATTACATGTAATTTAGTCAATAACGGGTGGAGAATGGGGCGGATCAGGGCAGGTCGAGTCGATGAGAGTACCCATGCCCGCCACGCCCCGCCTACGGGGCGGGTCGGACCCACCACAAAACAGGCCAAACGGGTGGGGTAAAACGGGTCAGGTCAAAATTGCCATCCCTACCCACTGGCAGCGACGACACGGTGGCAACGACGACTCCTCCTCCTTTGCCGCCGCCGGCGTCCAGCATCCTGTGGGAAGTGTTCCAGAGGTGGATCTTGGCGATCATCTCGAGGAACGCAGAGTCCATCTTACACATTCTTCGTGACTGCCTGTATTGCACGAGATGTGAGGGACAGCCGGAGACCATCTTACACATTATTCGTGATTGCCCTCCAGCCCTTTATTTTGGGACTCATCATGTGCCGACTCCAAAGCAGGACCAACTCTTCCATTCCGATCAGGCAAGCTGGCTCTGGGATAATCTCGCTAGCGTTGACCTCCTTGGGAATGATATGTCTTAGAATACTTTCTTCGGCATTGCTATATGGCTTTTATGGAAGAACAGATGTTCTTTCTGCTTCAAAGGTTCGAGTGGAGCTCTTTCTTCTCCCTCTCTAGCTCATTCCATCATTCCAAAGGCGAAACTTTGGCAGGAGGCGTGGGTTGCCCCCTCTCTCTTGCCTTGCGAGAAGAAGCAGCCAATTACTCGAATCCTCGTCGACATTGGGTGGAAGGCCCCACCAATGGGTTGGTGCTCCTTGAACATTGATGGGGCGTCGAACGAGAATCCTGGACTTGCAGGTTGCGGCGGGGTGTTGCGAAACAACACCGGCCACTGGGATGATGAGGTTCGTTGCTAACATTGGGACGACTACTGCAGCTCTTGTCGAGTTGTGGGCCTTCTTTCATGGTATAGATATGGCTTGGAAGGCTGCATGTCGTGCTTTTAAGATCGAAGCTCACTCTCAATTGGCCATTCAGCTCATCAGTGATATACATGATCAGGTGCACCCTTATGCGACCCTTCTCTCAGCTATTCGGAGAAAGCTAAGTCAAGACTGGTTGGTGAGCATTGTCATACATACCGGGAAGGGAATAGAGTCGCAGACTGGCTCTCGAAGCACAGTCGTGTCTATCCCTACGGTATGTATGAGCTTGCTGAAACCACCATAAGGCCTAGCTTGCATTCTGTAGGATGACATGCGGGGAATCACATTTGAGCGTAGAATCTCCGCTCAGCCATCTACTTCTTCCACCTCTCCTCTCGTGATGTAACTCTTTTCTTGGGTGCGGCCTCCCTGTATGCATAAAAAAAATTGTTGTATTTTCTATGTTCATTATTAACAATATCTCCTATATTTTTAACGTAACTCATAGAATGTTTACAATAACTAGCCATAAATTAACTTATTAACAGTTTGAAACCAATTATTATGGATGTAACATATTGGTAATGATATACGTCATCATTATTATTGTTTTCTAAATTACTATTGGAGTTTTATTAAATCATAATTAATGATATTTAGTCATTTTTTACATAAATATATAACGTTTACAATCTAGAAATTAAATTATTTTACTTTTGTGCAATTGTTATCCATGTAACCTAAAGTTATCAATGTTTATGTGATTTATCATTAACTATATACAATATTATCATTATTGCCTTTTAATACAGGTAATTAATGGTATACTCCAGTAGTATAATATACTCTATGTGATATGGCCGTTAGATCTCCTTTTTTGAGCTCCGACCAATCTCAACGGTCAATTAGTATTTTTTTTTTTAATTGAACTTCTGGTTTGAGTTTAAGAATTGGGGGTTGGGACTTATCCATTAGAGGTTAGGGTATAGTATCATATCCCGAACTCGATTTAATTCAAGGTCTGGATAGAGATATCTCGATAAGAGTATTTGAAGTATAGTATACTTCAAAAGTAAACCAGTCTAGCCCTTTAATACAAATCATTATTAACAATATGTTGTCATCTTTAATGCAAATTAACAACGACATATACAGATTCATTAATGATATAAACATCATTATTATCATTTTTCAATAATTATTAGCATTTTACAAACTCATTATTAACTATATCTCATTATTTTTAATATTATTTTTTTATCGATAAGTTTGTACATATTTATTCCTTTCCTAGTCCTTTTAATTATGAGTCTTGTTTCAAGCATGTTTACATTGCAATTCCATGTTATCTGCTAAGTGCAAAGTAGATAAAAAAGGGAAAGGGCAAATGACGAACTTTTCTAAGCAAAGAGGAAACTCACAAAGGGAAGTTCTAAGGTTTCGCGGGGAAGCTATCGGATGGGTTTGGGATAACCTATAAGTAATTAAATCTGAAAACATTTATATCTAAGTGAGCCAAGAAAATCCAGATTTAAAGGTTGTAAACTAAAAACATTTTTATTTTCCCTAATTTTTTTATTGGCTCTTATTTTTTTCGTTCTAACTCGGATTTCAATTTTTTTTTTTTTTCACAGATGGAACGAGTTCGTTGTGCTCTACAAAATGAGATCAATTTTCAATATATTTTGAGAAACTTTTTTTCATACCCCCGTTACCAACTACATACCATATTGTAACTTCTTCGTTTTAGTCGTTTTTAAAACGTTTGCTCAGAAGAAACGCGTTCATCATGATCTATTGGATTGGATCTACAAATTTCTAAATGAAAAAAATACAGGATCAAAAGTTACCATACTTTACCACTATAATATGTGGGTGGTAACTTGTGGTAAACAATGATGAAAGTCGTAAATGATAGTTAGTATAGTATACTCCTACTATCATGTATTCAATCTTCCTATCATATTGGTATGTTCATACAATCATGATACGATTTCTTACCATATGGTATTAAATAGGAGCATACCATATGGTATTGACTGGTAAAAAAATGACTCAATTTTTTTATGTTCTAAAAATATATCAAAGTGAATGTCATTTTAAAGAGCACAATTAATCTGATTTATTTGTGAAAATTTTTTTAATTTCAACTTAAAACGAGAGAGAAATCGTCCGTTAAATATTAAAGGGGAAAAAATAAAAAGCTTTCCATGAGAGAGAGGGATGTTGATGTCATGCTGATGTGGACGGGTTACTCATGGTCATGGTTACTCACCATTAAGATTGGCAATCAAACCCATGACCCCGCGTATCCGGCTATCCACTCACCTCCGACCCAGTCAACGCGGGGAATCCCCTTATTGACCAGGTATGGGGCGGGTATGGTTAAAACCCGCAAAGAAGTTGATGAATATGGGGCGGGTATGATTTTAGGGTCTCCCGCCCCATACCCATACCGAAACCCGCCCCATCAAGGTATTTTGCTATACGTAAAAAGCTATAAATATACTTTTAGAAATTATAATTAGCATGAAGGTAATTAAATAAGAAAATATAATTAAAATGTAATTATATTTATCCAACCCTTAAAATTTTCAACGCTCTTAGTCGGCTACAGTTTACTTTCTCAATTCCTCAATGTCGCCGCATTTCATCTCGTAACTCTTGAATCATCTTGGAGATGACCCCCTTACCAACATTGTTGATGTGATAGTAATAGGTTATTGCATATCATTTTTTACATTTGAATTATTTTGATGCATATTGGTGTAACTTAGTGTGTTTGAATAATTGACAGTCTAGTACACTTTAATCTTTTAGAAGCAAAAGAGATTTTTGTCTAGTTGACAAGTTTATGTTAGCCATTTATTATATAGATGTATTAGATTCGAAGATGAATGATTTGATATAGTATTATATTTTCATTTTATTTTGTTGATTAATCAATATTTTAGGATTGAATGTTTTTTCCTATTAAGAAATACTATAACTATGTTAACTTCCGCTATTTATTATGTATGTTTTGTGTTATAATTGAAGACATACATGTTGAACTTTAGATATAATAATATTGCTTATACGGGCCGGGTATTACCCATGGGTATCTGAAACCATGGGTACGTGAATGGGTTTGCAAAACCTCACTCCGCATGGGTATGGGGCGGGTATGGGATTGGATATTTGGTGATGGGGATGAGGATGATTTAGACAAACCCGCCCCATTGCCATCCCTACTCATCATAAGGTTACTGACTTGATCCGCTCCCATCAAAAGTGGACTTGCGACGCTGCAAAGATGGAAAATACAACGCCGACAAGGTGCTTCTCTCGACCAGATTTGTGGCGCTGCACTACCCCTAACTAACAAATTACCAGTCACTACCCACTAACTACTTGAGAGATTAATCTATTGACCTACATTAACTTAAGCAACTTTATCAATTTAGTGGCTTAAGGAATTGAAACTATCCCCTAAAACGTCCTCTCAAATCAAAGTCAACTCATATGAGTTTAAAGTTTGAAATTTGTACATGTTCGAATACACATGTATTTGACAAATAAGGACCGTCAAGATTCGAACACAAGACTTATCGAGTCATCAAGACATCAACGACTCTGATACCATATGTCAAGAACCCGTAGATAGGGATGGCAATTTTGACCTGGCCCTTTTTATTCGACTTGTTTAACCCGTTTTGGGGCAGTTCCGACCCGCCCCGTTTGCGAGGCGGGGTGGACATGGGTAATTTACTTGACCTGACCCGCCCAGACCCGTCCCATGTTTGACTAGTTTTGCCTAACCTACATGTAATTTTACTCAAATTACTTACGATTTTACTTTTATTACATCATGTTTTAACTATAATGAATTTGTACATAGGTGAGAACCTTAATTTTACGAATAATTTTAACTACATTTATCATATTTTAGTTTCTTGACTTTTTAATGAAAAAAATGAGTATTTCTAACGTTTTCCTTTCAAACTACATACTCATATGAATTGACCTATCCCAACCCATACTCTATGATAAATTACCCGACCTAAACTCAACTTGCCACGAAAAGGATATATGTATCAAGATACCCACCCGAACCTACCTTATTCTCATTCCTACCTGTATATCTCAATATATTGCACACTGAGGATATGTCAATCATATAGACTAGCAGCCATCATGCAAGTTACAAAAGTGACAAAACAAATCACAAATATGTCAAATCCAAATCACTCAATTCAAACACACCCTAAATTTTTAAATAAGCAGAAACGAAAAATAATAATAAAACTTGATCCAAACGACTCCGGCAAAATAACTTCTGACGGTCATAATTAATTTTTGACTTTTAGAATTAATTAAATTATGGTTTTCAAAGTACCAGAAGAGTAAACTGTCTAGTTCGCTGCCCGGTTTGCTGGAGAAGACCGGAAAGTCTTGAACATCTGTTCTTCAAATGCCCCTTGGCCACAAGATTGTGGTCGCTCATGGGTCTAAATGATTTCATCTCCTCGGCCCCGACTGTGAATTTCAGTCTCTGGTGGCGACATGTTATGCTTTCTGAGCACCCCCAAACCCACATTCTCCTATACGTTTGTGTATTATGGAGGATCTGGAAGTCTAGAAATAAGGTGGTCTTTGAGCATGTCCAGCCTCATGCCCGGTCTCTCGCTCGTCAGTGTTTTTTTCCAAGTTCGCGATCTGTCTTCCTCCCTTCCTGCTCCGCCCCAGCCTTCCCGTTCTCGCCTCTCGTCTTGGTCCCCTCCTCCTGTTGGCTTTGTGAAGATCCACTTTGATGCTGCTGTTCGTCCTTCTGGGTGCTCGTCTGGTCTTGTGGTGCGCAGTTCAGATGGGCATGTGGCTCTGGCTTTAGGGTCTCTCCTTCCCGGTATTGCTGATCCCTATCTTGCGGAGCTCCTAGCAGCTAGGGCCGCCTTCGCCCTTGTAGTCTCCAAAGTGCTGCCCCGGGTCATCATAGAAGGAGATTCAGAGGTGGTGATTCGGCAGCTTCGTCAAGGTGCTCTCTCTGTCTCCTTTGGAGGTCCGGTGCTTCGGGATTGCTCCCTTCTCCTTTCTTCCGTCTCTATTTCTTTAGAGTTTAGGGCAGTTCCTCGGACTGCTAACAGTGCTGCCCATAGAGTGGCGCAGAAAGCACTGTTACTCTCCCCTTTAGAGTTTTGCGCCTTTGATTTTGTGGGTTGGCTTCTTTGATGTATTGGGTTGGGCAGGGTCGGGGTAGATTGTATAGGTTTTCTCTTGACATTTCTTGGAAAAAAAAAAAAAAAAAAAACCGACTCCGGCAAAAAATTCGGAACGTCCAGAGAGATGCATAAAAAACGAATAGATCGTCCTAATTCGTATAAGAAAAGGAAAACTTTGGCCTATAAGAATGGAGTCAGCCAGTGAGGGATGAAGGATGTCTCACTTTTGTTTCTCCTTCAGCTCCGCTAGACCTTCTGTTTGTTTGTGTACTCCGCCGCCGCCATGGTGACCGAGAACCGCAGCTCGGGTCACAACTCCAATTGTGGGCGACGAAAGGGGATGATCCGTTCAAAACTAGGAGACCCCATCACCAGCCTCGAGGACAGTCTCGTGGTAGAAATTCTAATTCGCCTCCCGAACCCTAGATACTCGTGCCGTTGCAAATCCGTGTGCAAGCGGTGGAACTCTCTGATATCCGACGCCTACTTCAACCGCCGTTTCGTTTCACACCACCAGAGCAGGTACCAACCTCTGCTTCTCAGCAATCACGACACGCAAGCAATCATTCACAGCTTTCCCGCCCCGCCCCTGCTTACCGATGAAGACAAGCAGGGGTCTTTCATAGTTTGGGACTGCTTCAAGGACTTGGTCTTGTGTGGGTTCACGGATCCAGGTGGTAAAAATCTCGAATGGGGCAGATCGTACATTATCTGCAATCCCTTCACCAGGCAATGGGTCGCGCTCCCTTTAGCACCTGAAAGGACATTGGAATACGTTGCGCCGTGTGCAAGGTTAGTCGCTGAAGCCCGCACTTGCTCTGCTACTGTGAATCTCGACCTAGGAAATGGCCAATCATTTGCTTTTTCTTCCGAGTATCGTTTCCGGGTGCTCTGTATGTATACCCAGGGCATTGCTTTGAGATTGGACTCGTTTTGTTCCGAGTCTGGAAAATGGACCAAGGACGCCCGTGTTATTCATCGTGGTTTTGGAATCCTGGATTCGAGAATAACTTCGCACAATGGGGAGTTTCTTGCCTCATATCTTCATTATGATCGCGCTAGGGGCAGACCCAGATTTATCCTTGCTGCGCTTCATCCTTTCCGCCTTGATCTCCCTCCCACTATTTATACGCATGCTTCAGACATTGTGGAGCCACTAGGAGATGATTGGAAATTTGCCATCTCACAGGGTGCTTTGCACTTGGTTACAATTGAGCGGGCGCCTGGCCAATTAGCGGTATGGAGGCTGGAAGAAGATGGCAAGTCTTGGAGGAAACAATACCAATGGTCGGTGAATTCAGCAGCAAGAAGGGGTAACTATAGACTTGAGTGTTTTTTTCTAGGTGACCTGCATCCGGAGAAGCCGGAAATTGTCTTCTTGGAATATGTCGACCCCCTTAACGAGCGGTATGGTATCTACTCCTGTGATTTGACGACGAGTGTGGAAGAGATGGCGTTCTTCGCTCAAGTGAGACGAGGTATACCTTCTTGGAAGGTGATGCAGGCCAGTGTCTCTTGTTGGCCTACTCCAATTCCAAGGTACGAGGATTTGCGAGGCAAGTACGATGGAAGCTACAACCGTTGGGTTCAAAGCATCGAAGCAACGACTCCCTCCATTTCTGGTAATTACGTGTGCTCTTGAGAGTTTACTCACCACTTTCTTTTCCGTCCTTGCTTCTCTGTCAGGTTTTTAGGAATTCACTAATGGAATAGAGAAACACAGAAATACAACTTCTTTACCATCCTGCAACAATATCATGAAGTCTAGCGCCCCCTAACTAGCAACTTCCTCATCATGTCTCACATATTACATATGTCTCGTTTCCTTACTGATTGCTTGAGAATTCTGGTCGTGTTTGTAAACACTGCAACCTTATAATCTAAACTCTAATAAGGCTGGCCACGACGAGGATAGATATTATCTGTCATATATACATGTGTTTGTGTGTGTTCTCTCTTTTCTTTACTCTGGTTTTCTAGACCTGTGGTTTGATTGCTGGACCAACGGAAGAACACCAACCAGTTCGCGACCAGACTGCACCGATTTGAGCAACAGAGGAAGGGCAATGGTTCAGCTTCCAAGAGGACCAAGACTAAAGGTGGTGAATGACCAGCTCCATTAGAAGGAATTTATCTATGACTGAGGTGTTGGACTGGTGTTGTGATGTATCCAAGTAATGATGATGAGAAAAAGCAAACGTGCTATCTTACGGGAGAAAGTGTCATATGCTTACAATGTTTGTTGTTAATGACTCTACTTATTCAAGAGGGTGCGGATAGCATAACAACACCCTAAGACTGACTCCAACCCTAGAGCTAAAAAGCCATTTACCCATTTTTAGCTCTTTTTTTGTGCTCCAACCCACATTATTTTGGGAAGCTAAAAATGGGTATTGATGAATTGGGAGCCAAATTTAGCTCCAAAAGAATGGAAAAGCCAAATTTGGCTAGAGAAAATGGTGGACCCGCGGCGGGTCCTCCTTTATTTTTTATTTTTTATTTGTTTCTGTGGAATTTTCTCATTGGTTGATTGTGTTGTTTTCCTTTTTTCTTTTTTTTGTGTGGTATTTTGTCATTGGTTGATTGTGTATGTTGTTTGTTTAATTGTTTGAAAGAAGATATGAATTGTTGTGTGTTTAATTGGTATTATCTCAGTGGTCCCGAAGTTAACGGTAACAAAATAATGACTAATTTTCCGAAATATTTTTTGTCTCGGAATTTAAAAAAAATTACATCGAAAATTTTGTTTTCAAAAGTAATAACTAACTATAGAATAATTAAAGTGAAATATAAAAATTAGAGGTCAAATAAGTATGGTTTATTGTAATAAATTGAAAAAAGGGAGATGAGAAGCGAAATTTAGCTTTGTGTAGGGTTGGAGTGAAAATGGGATTTGGGGAGCTAAAAAGCCAAATTTGACTTTACGGGTTGAAGTTAGTCTAAGTGTTGTTATTATAACAACAAGGGCATAACCGTAAATGACAATAAACATAATAAAAAAAAGCTATTTCATCCTCTCTCCCATTCAGATCTCATCGTCTCCGTCTCAGCCCCTCTCTCCCAAAAATGCCCGCGACGGAGGCGGAGACACCAATCGTCGCCGCCGCCGACGCCGCCACCACCGACTCCCTCCTCAAATCCTGCCCCGACCATCACCAACCTCTCCATCGTTCCCCTCCCGGCCGCCGACGTCTCCCACCGCGTCCAGCTGTCAGATCTCATCACTCACCATTGTCCCGGGGCCAAGATTAGGGCGGTCCTATCGCCTCCGAAATCGCTCAGAATCGTCTCTCCGCCTCCTTCGTCGCCGCCGTCGAGTGGGGACTCGTCTCCTCTCACCCCAGACTACTACTATCGCCAATCGCGTTGCTGCTGCCACTCTCCGCCGATTGGTTTCCGCAGCGGAGTTCGTGGAAATTACAGTCCCCGCTCAACGCAGAATCATACCCGTTGCGGCAGGGTTCGGCGAACTTGATGATTGGAATTGGAATGAAACAAAATTAGTCGAATTAGGTTATACAAGTTTGGATACGAGATGAGATGATGATGACGACGACGAAATTTTTGAAAGTTTGGATTCTTCTGTCGAACTTGCGAAATTTTCCATTTCCAATTGCCGGTTTCGTCAAAATCCGGACTTCCGGTAGCTTGATACTACGGTGAATTTGGTACTACCGTTAGGTTTCGGTCGCCGCCGCAGCTGACAGACAGCTGCCCGTTCCCGTATCCCCACCGGCCGCCTCAGTCCACATGCAATATTCCGACTTTAGGTTCTCTGTTTGTCTCTCTGCTTGGCTGTGGGCAAGGCTCAGAATATCAATATCCCAGAACATAAAAATAACAGAGAAAAAAGAAAAATGTGCCTTTTACCTTTTGTTTCATGAATTTGGGCTGCTTCCTACCTCCAAATGACTAATTAATAGCACCTCTGAAAGTCCCTACACAAAGTGTTTTGTGGTAAGCAAAACATACATATGACGATGATGGTCCAATAGAATTCGAACTGTACAAGATTCCCAAATGAAAGGTCCAAAATTAATGAAACTTATTGCTTGAGTGAATTTATCCATATGAGTGCCATGAAAGAAAGAATGATTCACAGGCAAATGCACATGCTGGTTTTTTCCATTGCTGGTGAGAAACTGGACTGTAAAAGGTTATATGACTGAGGGCCTGAGGCGCTGTTGTAGTGGGTGGCGCTCTGTTTCGGCCGGTGGCGGGATTTGGCCGGGTGGCGGTTGTTAGAAGTACTAATTATCGGGATACTAATCAACTTACACATAGTTAATTCCTTAAATGCCATCTTTTGAAGGATTTTTGAATGTCGATATTGAAAGTGTTGGCATATTTTTACAAGTTCGAGTAATTTCAAGTTCACTTGAAAGCATATCAAAAGTCTAAGTCTTGGAATGCACATCATAAATTTTATAAAACATACTACAAATATCACAAAAGCATACCACAATTATTTAAAAAGCATACCAGAAACCTCTCAATACAGACTATAAATTGCCTAAAACATACTAGAAACACGACAAAGCAAACCACAACTATTTCTAAAACACACCAAAAACCTCCTAATGCAAACCACAAATGCGATAAAACAAACTAGAAACTTCTTAATGCAAACCAAAAACGTCCTAATGCAGACCACAAATCTCCTAAAACAAACCAGGTCCTCGCAAAGCAAACCACAAAAGTTTCGAAAGCACACCAGAAACTTCTTAATGCAAACCAGAAACCTCCGAATGCATACCAAAAATCTCCTAAAACAAACCAGAAACCCCACAATGCAAACCACAACATTTGCGAAAGCACACCAGAAACCTCATAATGCAAACCACAAATACAGTAAACCAAACCACAAAAAAACAAACCATAAACGTCCTAATGCAGACCACAAATATATTAAAACAAACCAGAAACCCCTCAATGCAAACCACAAAATTTTTGAAAGCAAACCAGAAACTTCTCAATGCAAACCACAAATACGATAAAGCAAACCAGAAACTTCTCAATGCAAACCACAAACGCGATAAAGCAAACCACAAAAGGCATACGAAAATATGAGAAACCAAACCATAAATCTCACAATGCAGACCATACATCCGGTGGTCGTTGACCTTTGACCGGTCAACGAAGACCGTTGACCGGTCAACGAAGTTCGTTGACCGAACTCCGATGACCGTCAGTGAGTAGATTCCGGCGCCGATAGGCATATTCCGACCCCGATGACTAGATTCCGACGCCGGTAAGCATATTCCGACCACGGTGAGCATATTCCGGCGATGGTGACATATTCCGATGACAAAAAAGCATATTCCGGCGACAAAAAAGCATATTCCGGTGACCGGCGACTAGATTCCGGCGACCAAAATTTTGGGCCGAAAAATAAAAAAAATTTTATTTTTTTTATTTTTTTTATTTTATTATTATTATTTAAACATATTTTTCATAATGACAATTATACCCCTGCTTTGATTTTACACTAGGTCAACTCATCTAATAAAAAGTCATCACAACCCTAGCTTCCTATTGGTTGGAGACTAGTGTTGTTATAATAACAACACAAGGAGTGTTGTTACCATAACTGGTCCCTATTCAAGATGGTCGGTCTCCAGCTGATACCATATGTAACTGCATGGGTTTTGAATGTACAAATTACTTATACTCCTACTAATCTAAGTAGAGGAGATCAATCAGCTGGCATATTTACAAACAGAACTTGTTCTCGACGTTACAAGTTTCTCATCTGAATGCAAAGGATTTTCAAGCTGAGGGAGCCAAGGATGACGTTGCAACGTTTTGTTGGAGCCTCTGTCGGCATCCCTACTGCTTTTTCATTCTCTTGCCATAAAACCGTCCATGGAAGCTGTTTACAATGGAGACTGTATAAGTATTTCCATCTGATTTACTTATAATGGGGGTTGCAATGCTCTTTGTTCATGACTCGATGGTGCTAGGGTCTGCAATATTCTACATGCTTCTCGGTTTTCCTTTTAAAAAAAATTACAAAAATAGCACCCAGCCGAAAAAATTTACACTAATAACACCCTTTTATATGGACCGCACCTTAGAGGTGCGTTTTACATATAAACCGCACTTCTATGGCGCGTTTTAAAATCCTGAACCAAAACCGCATCTTGGCCAAGCGGTTTTAGGTCTGACCTTCAGAAACTGCTTGGCCGAGGTGCGGTTTTGGCCTGACTTATCTAAACCGCACCATGAAGCTGCGGTTTGCTTCTCCCAAACAAAAACCGCACCCCCAAGGTGCGGTTTTGGTCAATTAATTTCCGACATGCCATGCAGAATAACAGACGTGGGTCTGGAAGGGCCTGCATCAGTGATTTTGCCTATAAAAGGCTTCCGGAAAACCACTTCTCTTCACACCTCTCCTTCTCCCTTTTCAATTTTCTGTTGTAGCTCTATATTTCTTTAGTAGTTTTGCGATTAACGTTAACTCGTAAGTTATTTTGTATTACTTTTTAGTGTTACTTTTTATTTTTTATTTTTATGATATTAACTGAACTACGATTTTTTCGCAGATGGCATTCCAAAAGTTCACGCTATGCTTACGATGGAATGGTTACACGGAAGAGACCGGAAAGGGGGTCACCTACGTCGGTGGCAATTTTCAGAAGATAAAGGTCGCTACCAGACCGCTGCTTGAAGACCTCCATCAAATGTGCACTAATGTTACTTGCATGGATGGCACGAGAAGAGTTGATCGTATGGTGTACCGATATCCAAACAGAGAAAGTGGGTCATTGTGGCATGAGGAATATCACATAACCACTCAAGATGAGGTAGATGCCATGCTCGAATTCTTGAGGTCCAACAATCTTTCCAAAGCCGAGATGTTCGTTTACACCGAGCCGGTCGTAGGCGTTAGAGGTCATTCTGGACAAGGTCAAACATCTGGTATCCATGGTGGAGGTGAATTATATGGCGATCATCCCTACCAAAGTTACCATGATCCACATTCCTATTTTCAGTACCAAGAGCAAGGTGAAGGTCATCATCAATCTTTCCCGTCATATGAAGAAGAAGTTCAACCGGACCTCCCCAACCAACCTCAGTACAACTTCCAATCAGGCAGCAGTAGTTTTCACAACTACCATTATGGAGCTGATGAAGGTGAGTTTCATGAGCTGGATCAGATGGAGGTGACCCCGCCAGCACCAGATATACCGTTGGTTGTATATATCCACGTCCTCCCCAACCTACGAGAAAATAACAACGAGGTTAGTACATAGATTAATTAAAAAGCTTATAACAACAACAAAAATTAAACCAGAATTATGAGTACGTACCGCTTGAAATTCATCGACATAAACTCCCTCTCATTGCCACCAATCGGCCATTTTTTATGGAAATTTGGACAGAGGTTCGGCTCGGCGGGTTTTGAGGAAAAAACCAAAATTCGGACAGAGATTCAGCTCGGCGGGTTTTGAGGAAAAAACCTAAGAAATATTTTCTGATGGCAGATCGGACTTAGCCGCAACCAACAGACCACTATTTCCTAGGCTTTTGGGAGGGGAGGGTTTAGAGAGATAAAATCTAGAGAGAGAAGGAAGAATGGGTTGTGGTGTGAAGAAATGAGAGGGGAAGGGGGGGTATTTATACCCAACAGACCGCACCCTCCAGGGGCGGTCGGGTAATTTTGCCCTCATAGAAACGCACCTTGCCGAGGCGATTCGAGCTTCCCCAGGCGTTGAACGCTCCTCGGCGATGCGTTCCCCGATCCGTGGCGCGGATCGCTCCGCTGGCGCGCGTTCAGCGCTCCGATCGTTCCTCCATCCAACGGTCTTCAAGACCGTTCCGCAGAATCTGAAGATCGCATCTTGGCGCTGCATTTCTTGGGCTGACGTGGCTTGGAACGCACCTCTAAGGTGCGGTTTACTTATAAAACGCACCTTAGAGGTGCGTTCCATTAAAATTGGTGCTATTTCTGTCAATTTTTTCGGATTGGTGCTAGTTTTGTAAAATTTTTTTAAAACGTGCTATTATTGGAAAAATCCCATGGATTTTGAATGTACAAAATATTTATATTCCCACTAATCTAAGCAGAGGAGATCAATCGACTAGGTTGCAAACTAGTCGAGTCGAGTTTTTGCGTTGTTTGAGCTCGACTCGTTTATAAAATTTTCAGCTCGAGCTCAGCTCAAACTCGAATTTTGACAAGCTGAGTACAACCCCGGCTCAAGATGAGCTAGATTTGAAATCACTCTTACTGAAAAATATGTGCACATTAGAGTTTAAATTATAAAAAGAACACTAGAAACTATACTTAACAACAAACTTTCATACACATTCGTAGTAACAAGATAATATTCTTGGTCAGAAGAGTAATTAATCTCTCCACAAGCTCTAAACAAGCCACCTCGAGAGCTTAACTCACTCAACAAGCCACCGATCCAAACTAGCTCACGACCTCATCAATTTGAGCATGGTCTAACAAAATCTACGGATTCAATGAATCCACGCCCTAAATGCTATTATCCAAATGAACCCTTAAGAGACTGTTTGGTACCAAATTAAATGAATTGAGAATTTATTTCATTTTAAAATGAATTACTGTGTAGAATTCATTATCAAATGAATTCCTGTGTTTGGTACTCATATTCAATCTATAGAAATAAATGAATTTAATTCTCAAACTATTTTTGGTATATGTTTACAATTGAATTAAATTAAAAGTTTCTCTAACTACACCCTTATTAATTTTTGGGGAAAAAAATATTCATTAAAAATTTATATTCTAAGAAAGTCTTTGGTCTCATACGTAGAATATCAAAAGTGTTATTGTGTGTTTCTATTCTATTAATTAGTTCTTTTCTAATATTTCGTGGATGAACCCTACAATCTAGTTGTGCCTTCTCAAAGTACTGATACAATCGAAGCAAAAAATATAAAATAACTAGCATATGTACTAGCGTTGCAATCCAATTCTTGGCGATGTTTCTCATACTGTATCAATTGACGCCAAATAATATATGTAGAAGTAATTTCATTAATAAATAAGGATAATTATGTCATTCTATTATAATTAATAAATCCTAGGGGAATTCAAATTCCATCTCAATTCCTCGGAATTGCTATAACTAGTTCCAATTCCGTAGAATTCAAAATTTAGAATTGCAAATGAATTCTTTTAAATACCAAACACAAAAAGATTTGATTTCAAAATGAATTTCTCAAAATTTATAGAATTCATATATACCAAACGGTATAATATAGATTAGCCATGGTGTAAATTACAGAAGTGAGAAGTGGTAAACAAAAAACACAGAAACGTTTCGAACTCTGACTCACCACAACCAACCATTAATTAAGAAAGAAACAAAGGAATATTCCTTTTCTTTTTCCTAACCTCTTGAGTCTTGTCTTGCTAGAAAGAACAACAGCCTCTGGAATCAGCATGACCCTCTTTAATAGTACTCTTGGCACCCTGATCGTCGAAACTCAGTATCTGTCTCCCCACCGGCAGAGACGAGACGGGGGCCACGGCGGATCCTCCTCCCCTGCCGCCGGCGTCCAGAGTCCTGTGAGAAGTATTCCTGAGGTGGATTTTGGCGATCATCTCGAGGAAGGCAGAGTCGACGTTGAGGTTGTCCCTGGCGGAGGTCTCGACGAAGGAGAGGTCCTCCGCCTCGGCCAGGCTCCTGGCTTCCTCCTCGCTTACCTCTCGCAGCTGCCGGCCGACGTCGCATTTGTTGCCGACGAGGACGATGACCATGTCGGCGCTGCTGAAGCCGCGGAGCTCGTCCAGCCACTTTTCCACGTTGTCGAATGTCGCTCGCCGTGAGATGTCGTATACCACCAGCGCCCCCAGCGCTCCTCTGTAGTATGAGCTTGTTATTGCTCGGAACCTACAAAACAACCCAACAAAATTTTGTCACATTTTTCTTCTTTGCTAGCACAATTAGTAAAATTGAGATGCCTTTACATTATTAAGAAAATAAAAAAGATCAGATGCCCTTTTTAAAGTTAAATCGAGGAAGCCTTCTATCTGAATTCAAACAGGTAGGTAGGTGGTTTTTAACCTTACAAGATGCTTAATCACGGTTAGACCAAGATTTCAATATAAAACTTTTTATTGTTGAATTTTCCAGTATAACAATAAGAACATTTTGTTACAAGTGGTTATTTTGTTAACTAATATGAGTCACAAATGAGTTGACTGAAGTATTATTTCAGAGTAATTATTTTTTCCGTTGATTATTGATCACAAGGTTCGAATCTTCATCCTCGCATTACTACTATGCCAATTGAAAGATTTATGAAAAAGTGCTTATATGCCTGATAATCAACACGATGTTACACCTAACTCATATAGGAAGTTATAGGGCAGTATAAATACTATCAGTTGAACAAGTATTTAGTTTACATAAAGAATTAGGTAAATTAATCCTCGATCTCTTTGTTATTTTTCCTTTATGCTGATAATTAAGGGGGAAGAATCCAATGGCTCTTTTTGTGAGGTGCATGTTAAGAGATAGATTATATTAACTAGGTGCTGCTTATAGTGGTGGGCCGGTTTATGAGAAAATCAATCATAAATTAAGATTATAACACTGACAGCAATTTCATGAACAAATATTTGTGGATTGCTGACAAACTTATAAAAGATGCAGGCAAAAAACAAAACAAAACAAAACAAAAAAGATAAACATAATGGATGGATGGATGCTTAGGAAATCAGAAAGGCAATAGGGATGGATGGGTGTGAATGAAATGAAAGGATTGAAAGTTAAATCAGACGTAATCATGTAACTTTGTTCCTCAGTGGGCCTAACATTTGACAAACAAATTAAGCAAGCCCAAGGATAATTGGGACCAATCATTTTTGTTACAAATAATTATAAGCGTGAAATGTGGAGGGATTGGAGGGGAAACAAATAAGAAGTGTTGAATTCATGGATTTGTGAATTCATCCAAATGTAAAATATACATTTAGTAAACCATAACTTTGAACATCTAATTCTACATAAGGGTGTTATAATTCTAATGTACTCATAGTAGGGTTCAGATCTTGTCAAGTGTCTACAAACCCACTATTTGGTGAAACCTCATGTCCTTTGGGGAAGTGTTGAGTAGACTAGAGTATACCACAAGAAGAGGATCTATTAATGTCGCCATCCAACATTACGAAGCCATAAGAACGGTAGATGGGAAGAGGCTGTAAAACTACATACATAGCAAGTCCGGGACCAGGAAGCATAACAAAATCTGGATATTATTTATAAGTAGGACGTGGGGAAGAAAATACTTTTTATTTGTGAAACTTGTACGCCTTTCCAAAAGGTCACTCGACTTCCGAATGACTGACGATCAAAATGAAAATAACGATCATCTCTAATTTCCCAGACCTTATATACTAAACAAGTTCAAGTCTGTATTGAAATGTACACCAGCTAATTAGTGAGTAACAGATATAAGAAAGAAATGCAGGCATTGAGAGATAAAGAGAGAGGAAACTAGAATGGGGACCTTTCTTGGCCGGCGGTGTCCCAAATTTGGGCCTTGATGAGCTTATCCCCGACGCGGACATCCCTGTAGGCGAACTCAACCCCAATGGTGGGCTTGGAGTCGACCCGGAACTCGTTCCTCGAGAACCTCGACAGCAGGTTCGACTTCCCCACGGCCGAGTCCCCGATCATCACCGTCTTGAACAGGTAGTCGCACTCCTGCTCCTCGTCGTACCCATCCCCCATCTCTCCGGCCACCGCCACCAGAAACAAACAAACAGAGCAAGACAGACAGACAGAGAGAAGCTTGCCACAGGGAGATTTTAATTTTTGGGTTGGTTTAGGAGGTGGTGGGAGAGAGTTTAATTTCGGTTGGGGATTGGGGGAAGGAAGGGAAGAAGGATGAAACTATCAAACACTCTGTTTTGGCAGGGGAAGGAACAAGAAAGAAAGAAAGAAAGAAAGAAAGAAAGGAAAAGAGTAGTAAATTGCAGAATAATGATAAGAGAGAGGAGGATGGGAAAATGATGCTACGGCTACCACTGCTACTTATATCGGTGAAGAAAACAGAGCCAAAAGCTAGTTTCAGGCCCAGACAAAAAATGGATAAATAAAATCAGATGCCTTTACTTATAACGATTAATGATTTGACAAAAATTTATCACTTAAGATCTATGTGGGATAGCTTTTGATTGTCGGGTAATTTGGATGAGATATAGTAATGATGAAAAGTAATATTAAATTTACTGTCTATTGTTCGGGTACGTCGTTTTTTTCTTTATCGGAACCTGTATTCAGCTTTTATTCATTAGGAACGTATTGAGAATTGTCTGTTACAAGCTGATCAAAAAGATTCAACGGGGTCTAACAAATATGTCACATCTCGTAGCCATGATGTGTGCTGCTACATTGACCTTCCTACTCACATGGCGTAAGCTGCCATTTCCAATCTCCTCCAATAGCTTCTTAATATTTCTGTAGACAATCCCCACCACGTGCCACATATGCTATTAATCGCCGACGAACAATCAGATTCCAACATAGGTGCCTCGAGATGGTGTTGTCGAACCAGTAGTAGCCCAAACTCGATAGCTAGAGCCTCTGCCATCGTCGGGTCCCGAACATCCTTTATTCTTTTTGTTGTTGCCATTAAAAATCTCCCTTCGTACGTGTTCACCTTCACTCTCCCTGTCGCTAGCCGTGCCCAAGATTGATTCATGGTTGTTCCCGACACTTGTATCTCGCTGCCTTGGTGTTGCCGATACTCCTCCAGGTAAGTTATAGCTCTTGGAATAATGCCAGCCTCTTCCATCTTCTTCCCATTAAACAAATAGGCATTACGTTCCTTCCACAACGACCACATCAACACAACCCAATCCTCAAGATCGCTTACCGTAGCCTCCGCTGCCACCTTACGAACCCAGTCCATGCAACTTAAATCTCCTCGCATCTCAAAGCAATGCGCAACTAATGACGTACGCCACATCCTACTAGCCCACGAGCACTCGAGAACACATGAACATGAGTTTCCTGCTGGTCGCAAAAAGGGCATGCATCACTACACATGGGGTTTCGTTTGCTAACCCTTTCACCTGTTGCTAAAGCCTCCCTGGTGAACTTCCACATGAAAACCTTCACTTGTGGGGGAAGGTTTAGTGACCAAAGTAATTTCCACAGTCCCGGGTCTACCACCCTATTATCCTCATGGAGCTCCTGGAACTTCTTTAGCCATGTCTTGTAGCCCTCCCAGCCCGTGTAACGTCCATCCCGACTACCAGCCCGCATAAGTTTGTCCTGCTTGCTCGGGTTGCGCAAGGGGATTTGACAGATTGCATGGACCATACTCGACGGGAAGCAACTTTCCAGGAGGTTCTTGTCCCACTTCTCCTCTTCCTCGTCCATCAAACTCGCACCATTGCTTCAACTGGAAGACCCATCGGGGGAGACTGAACTATGAAGCCTTCCGTCGACGGTACCTAGCAATCCCCACATATCTGAACCGAAGAAACATTGCCTATTCGCCATCTCAACCCGTCAACCAAGAACTCATGGGCACTCATCATACTGCGCCACACATAACTAGGTCGATACCCGACTTCTGCTTCCAAAATTGAGGTCTTCTTGTGATACCTAGCTTTCATTATTCGAGCAACCAGGGATGCCGGACGTTGCCAAAGATTCCACATCTGTCATGCCAGCATAACAAGATTGAAACCTCGCAGGTCTCGCAATCCAATACCCCCTTGTTGTTTTGTACACATCAAAGCCTCTCTTGCCATCCATGGGGTCTTCCTCTCCTCGCCTCGTTGTCCCACCAGAAGAGTGTGGTCATCCCATGAATTTCATTGATGATCCCATATGGGATCTTGAAAACTGACATCGTGTAAGTTAATTGAGCCTGCACCACAGACTTCATCAGAACCTCTCTCGCCGCTGCAGACATAGCTTTTTCTCTCCAGCCCGATAGTTTCTTACGAACTCGATTATTTAGAAATGAGAAGAGCTCTTTCTTCGATCGCCCTACCTCCGTCTCCAACCCCATGTACTTATCATGTTTTGTCGCCTCCTTCATTCCCAAAGTCGAGCTTGCCACCAAACACTGGTGAGGCTTCACATTCCCACCAAAGGTCACCTCGGATTTCTCCAGGCTAATCAACTGGCCAGATTCTCTTTGGTAATCCGCAAGTACCTTCCTCAACTCCTGACTCTCCCTTCCTGTAGCTCTAACAAAAAAGATAGAGTCGTCAGCGAAAAATAGGTGTGACATTACTGGTACTCCCCGCGTCACCGACAAGCCAAATTCCCTTCTGCCTGACCGCCAAAGGTTTATAGTTTGACAATACCTCCGCCACCAATAAAAAGAGGTATAGAGAAAGTGGATCGCCCTGGCACAAACCCCTACTTGGGGTAAAAACCTAAGACCTATGCTCGTTGACCAGGACTGCATAAGTCACCGATTGGACACAAAGCATAATCAGCCGAATCCAGCCTTCTGTAAACCCCATCCTCCACACCCTTACAAGAACCACCACTCTACCATGTCATACGCTTTTGTCATGTTCGTCTTTGTTTCTAGATATCCCGTCTTATTTTTTGTCTTCTTCTTCATAGTGTGGAAACACTCAAAAGTTGTCATGACATTATCCACTATGAAGCGGCCTGGTACAAAAGCACTCTGCTCCGGGGATATGATCCTGTACAGTATGACTTTTAGTCTATTAGCCAAAGCCTTTGACAACATATTGTACCTAACGTTGCACAGACTAATCGGATGAAACTCTTTTGCCATGGTTGGCTCTTTCAATTTGGGGATCAGAGCCAACAAAGTATGGTTCAGCTTCGGCGGCATAGTCTCGTTTTCAATTACTCCTAGCAGCATGTCGATTACTTCATCCCCAAATATGTGCCAATATTTCAGGAAGAATAGAACAGACATACCATCAGCTTCCGGGGCTTTCCTCTTTCCCATCTGCTTCAACGCTCCAAAGAGCTCCTCCCGGCTAATTGGTTTAAGAAGCCCTTCAATCATCTCGTCACTAACACGTACTCCCACTGAGTCCAGCACCGGTGTGGTTATCGGACGCTCTCCTGCAGTAAAGAGGTTTACAAAATAGTTCATAAAACATTGTAAAACCTCTTCATTACCTCTCCACCAAGCGCCCGACTCATCCTTAATTTTCCTAATTGTGTTCCTTCGACGTCTCGATGTAGCTTTGTGGTGGATATTTTGTATTTTTGTCTCCACCTCTTAGCCCGTCAGCTCGAGATCATTGAGCCCAAAACAATTCCTCATCACTCTCAAGTTCCTCGAGCTCCTTTTGAAGCGCATGTCGCTATTCAAATACTCTGTCCGTCCTGTCCCTCCTCTCAAGATCCCTCATCGCCCTCTTTATTTGGTCTTTCTTCCTTTTGAAATTTGGAAAAGTGGCTCGATTCCAATTGTCTAGCGCACCTTGTACTTGGGAAATCTTTGAAATGGCATTCCCTATTGCCGAAATCCAAGCTTCCTTAACCTTTTCCACACACTCAACATGCTTTGCCCAACGTGTCACAAAAGTTAGGGCGGTGATCGGATCTTGTTTGATCCCCATGTAGTACTCTTGCCCTTGGTCTCAACTCCCACCAGGCACCATTGGCTAGAAAGTGATCTAGCCTCTCTTCAATGTACGACCCCACACGTTGTCGGTTCTCCCATGTATAGGGATATCCCTGGAAACCAAGATCTTTAAGACCCATCTCAGTCAAACAATCTGCGAAGGCCCCCATCTCAGCTTCCCTTTGCAGAGTTTCCTCCCTTTTTCTCTTCGTCGGACATGATGTAATTGAAATCACCACCACAAATCCAGGGTCCATTCCATTCTGCCGCCAAATCACGAATCATTTCCAGTGTACAATGTTTATCTCGTCCCTCTGGCTATCCATAGACTCCTGTGAATCTCCAGATCTTTTCATGCTTTTCCACCACTTTAACATCGATGTGATTCAAAAAGTCTGACATCACCATTGCCTGCTCTTCATCGAGCCACAACATGGATAACCCTCCCGCTCTTCCACCTCTCGACACATCACATGGCCAACTCCTTCCCTTTTTAAAACCTAGTTCTAAACGAGTCTTCTCATTTTCATCCCTAAATTGTTTGGTTTCCATAAGGAAAACAACCTGGGGGAAAGCTTGTCGCAAAAGCTACATCGTTTTAAGTTTACATGAAGTCGTCAATAGTTGTTTTGGAATTATTAATAAAAAAACAAATTGGTTTTGTTACTCATCTTACACCATAACATACCATGTTCAAAAATTGATAACAAAAGATAAATTACTTTTTAAAAAATGTTTTTGATAGATATCATCAGTCTCATTCCAATTCAATAAAATATTTCTGAAAAATGAAACGCCCAAAATATATTATTGCAATATTTTATAGATTATTATATGCATTTCATGAGATGTTAAAATGAACAAAAGATTCGATCTTTATGCTACAATGAGTCCTAGGGCTGTAAATGAGCCGAGTCGACCTGAGTTTTATCCTAATTTGAGCTTGACTCGTTAATATTCGAGTCAAGCTTGCGCTCATTTATTAACGAACCGAGTCGAGCTCGAGCTAGGCTTGTTTACAAAAATCTTTATTCATGTTTGATACATTCATTTTGTATGTTATGTAGGATACATGTGATAGATGTCATGTTGAATAAATAGTAGTCAAAAGTTCAACATTAACTAATCTCATGTTCTACTTTGTTAGTATCAAACTATTTAGTTAATAAATATTAATTTGTCCAAATCTTTTTATTTTATAGTATCAAATCAATCTATGATACATAATTTCTTTTCATAATTAAAAGACACATTTGCTTACATACTTAATATCTTAAACATCATATAGGGTGCAATATATAATTTAACAAACTTAAAAATTATCAAAATTCAAATGATAAGATGCATACCGATTCCCTGATGAGTTGGTAGACGGGTGCCTCTCTAGCCACAATGTTAAGACATCTTATGAGCTCTAAACGAGTCAGCTCACGAGTTGAGCTCAACAAGCCACCGAGTCGAGCTAGCTCACGAGCTTCGCGAACT